GTGATTATGTAATATCCAAATATTTAATCTTACAAATAGAAAAAAATGTAAAAAAATTTATAAAAAAAGAAAAATTTTTGAAAAAAATTTTCGTCTAACACTTTTTTATTTTGATTATCACAAGATCTACATGATCATCTACACGTTTCAATTTTTTTAACGAAAAAGAAATATATTTGAATCTATTTTTATTGAAAATCAATAAAGATCAACAAAATCAAATACAAATATAAAACTTATTGTTTGATGCCTCAAGTTAATATGTAGCGAAAGTGGCACAAAAATGAATATTTTGTAATTTTATTCTAATGATATCAAAGAAGCAATATTGCAATAACAACGTCTATAGCTATATAGCTATTACAATTGCAATTGCAATAGCAATAGCAATAGCAATAGCAATAGCAATAGCAATTGCAATTAGCTATATATATAGCTATATAAAATTGATTCAAAAAAGTTCACATTGAGCATTTCCGAAATTATGAAAAAATGCATGTAGATCGTATGACAAACTACAAATTAAGCGAAAAAGTGAATAAATTTGGAAGATGATCGTCAGAAATTTATCATCCAAAAGCATACTATCGCTAAATATAAATATTAATGTCATAATCAAATCTTAAATACTAAATCGTAAAAAAAAAATTATTGTGAATTAAATTTCTTGCGAAAGCTTGTCATGGTCATGATTAGGGATAGGAATCGATTCTAATTTTGAGAATCGATTATAGAATCGACTAATCGCGATTAATCGAATCTCAAGATTCGATTTAAAAATTCAATTTTCGGTTTCGATTAATCGATTCTAATCAATATTATGTACTGTACATAAAAATCATGACATTTGGGATGTCACAACATGGTTTTTACATAAAATCGAATTTTTTTTATTCTTTTAATTCGTGATTCAGATAAGAATGAGTGAGTAATTTTGCGATTCTCAAATGTGGGTGTCCTTACATATGTAAATCCATCAATTTTCAGCCAAATTGTTTGAAATTTTTGCTGAAAAAACTTTAAGATTGGCTTTATCATATTTAAGTATTTATATAATATTTATAACAACTCTAAATTTAAAAATAATTTACAAAATAGAAGTAATAAAAAATAAAAAAAAATTAAAAAGAATTTTTTTACAAATTTTTTTAAAAAAAATGCTTGGTTTATATTCAGAATATATGTTTTTATGGAGTTTAATCTATTTTTAAACTTTTAAAATTAGTATTTAATTTGTGATTCATGTAAAAATAAGGAGTAAATCACTAATTAAATTTGAAAAAAACAAAAAAAAACGTGGTTTTGTAATTATCTCGTGATCCAGTAATTCAATTTCAATGAAAATTTTTTTATTGTGTAGCTCTCCAATTTCTCTACGTAATAAAAAAAAGATTGTTGATATTGGACTAATAGATTGTGAGATAATTGCAAACAATGAGTTTTTTCAGAGGACAGCTGCATTTATCTAATATATTCTGAAAAAAATCATTTTTGTGATTATCTCACGATCTATTGGTCCAATTTTAAAGATCTTTTTTTTATTTTGTAGAGAGCTTAGAGAGCTACACAATAAAAAAATTTTCACTAAAGTTGAATCATTGGATCATAGGATAATCACAACAAATGATTTTTTTATTTACTTAAAATTTAATTAGTGATTTTCTCTATTGGTACATAGAATACGAATTAAATACTAATTTTAAAAGTTTAAAAATAGATTGCACTTCCCTAAAAACATATATTCTGAATATAAATCAAGAATTTTTTTTAAAAAAATTCATGAAAAATTTTCTTAATTTATTTTTGATTTCTTATTACGCCTATTATGCAATTATTCTTAAACTTTTGAGCTTTATAAATATTACATTAAATATTCAGATATGATAGAGCCAATCTTAAAGTTTTTTCAGTAAAAATTTCAAATGATTTGGCTAAAAATTGATGGATTTATATATGTAAGGACACCCACATTTAGGATCGCAAAATTACTCACTCATTCTTATCTGAATTACGAATTAATATTTACATCATGATTGTCACTCTTGAAAATGGTCAATTTGGCCTTGAAGTAGCTAATAATCATGAATTTTCATTCATTAGGCCAAATCGACCACTTGAAATTTGAATACAAAAAGTTGGTGTGCTAAATATTCAGTGCATATATCTACTGATTAATAGCAATAATAATTATAAATTCACTATTATCTTATTATAAAAGGTGTGTTACTTATAAAAACACTGATTACAACCAAAGAATAAATGGATAATTCTAAAACTTATATTAATGGATTTGGTTAGGAAAAGTAATATTAGAAGATTACATCAAATATTGTTATGATTATGCAAACTTTACTAATAAGTAATGCATTATTTGGAAAGGTTATTCATACAAATTATAAAGATTCTAATACTATTATGTAAAATGTCCATTTAATTTAACTATTAATAAAATTGTTAATGTGGTAAATTGTTTATAATATTATAGGTATACACTGTTAATGCTATATTTCAAAATATAGTTAAAATGCAACATGAAGTTGATTATCATGTGGTACCATCCAATTTTATGGAATCCCAAAAATGGAAGAAAAATATATATTTGTTATGGAGTATACTTGATTATGGATCATTACAATTCTATTTAAAAGAGAATAGTAATAAACTTGGATGGAACATACAATAAATATAGATTAGCACTCCAACTTGCAAATGCTGTAAAATTTGTGCATAACAAGTGAACTATTTACTGTGATTTGTAATATAATAATTTATTGTATATTTGAATTTTTTTTAATTTGATTACATCAAGCAATAAATTAATATATATCTTCATTTTAGTAAGTACATTTGTACTTGTACATCAAAATAGAATGTAGTTAGAAGACTTTTGTTTATCAAGAAAAAAAAAAACAACTGATGCATTACATTATAATCCAGCAGATATCCTTGGTGTAGTTTCTTATCAAAATACTTAATAATATTAAAAATAAAAGTCAACAAATATAAATTAAGTACAATCAGCTATTGGAATAAGTATAAAAAATTTTACATTATCATTATAAATGGTTTTATATTATTATTTTGAAATAATATATATCTCATAATTGAAAAAGTTATAAAAAAAGATTTATTTAAATTACAAACTAAGAAACTTGTGAAATATTTACTACTCTAGTCTTAATGTTTAAATAATTCTAAGTATAATAAAAATACATAAGCTAAAAAAAAAGAATTATATAAATTACAAACTAAGAAACTTGTAAAATATTTTACTACTCTAGCCATAGTGTTTAAATAAATTTAAAAAGAATAAAATAAAAAACAATTTCTTTTGAATGTGTAATATCAAATATCATTTAAAAAAAACTATAAATTTTTTTTAAAAACAAACAATGATTAGTTAATTTTCGTCTGCTTTAATATCTAAATAATTAAATATTAAATAAAATTAATTCACATAAATAATTTGCAAGATTAATTCTTTTATATATCATAGTACATACCTAATGACCCCAGACCCTTAATTATATAATCATTCAAATCTTCACTTACTAGCATTTCATTTGCTTTTACACTAGCTTGTGAATTTTCACTTTCAGGAATTTCATTCAACTTTTTACTAGTATTCTCATCTGAATAATTAAATTNTTTTATTGAAAATCAATAAAGATCAACAAAATCAAATACAAATATAAAACTTATTGTTTGATGCCTCAAGTTAATATGTAGCGAAAGTGGCACAAAAATGAATATTTTGTAATTTTATTTTAATGATATCAAAGAAGCAATATTGCAATAACAACGTCTATAGCTATATAGCTATTGCAATTGCAATTGCAATAGCAATTGCAATTAGCAATATATATAGCTATATAAAATTGATTCAAAAAAGTTCACATTGAGCATTTCCGAAATTATGAAAAAATGCATGTAGATCGTATGACAAACTACAAATTAAGCGAAAAAGTGAATAAATTTGGAAGATGATCGTCAGAAATTTATCATCCAAAAGCATACTATCGCTAAATATGCATTGTATAGCTTTTTTAGTTATAATATTACATAATTTTTTTTTTATTTTAAGTTACTTATTCTAAGTTCTAATTTATCTAAATATAAAACAAAAATTTTATATTGATTTAAACTCATTTAATCCTGTTGCAACGCAACAAGCTACAGCTAGTAAAACATTAAATAAATATTTGGTCATAATAAGGAAAAAACGATTCTGCAAAATTTCTAGATATTTCTTTGCATTAATATTCTTCCTACAGTAATAATCATTATTATTGGACCGCATCCCAAAACTATTACACCGGAAATGACTTACTTAACTATAGGTAAACGATAACTAACATTATATTTTTCTTTAGGACTGCATCAAGTCCAATGGTGAAAGTTGTTTTGAAATAAAGATATCAAGATTAATTGCTCCAAACTACAATTTTCTATTCATTTTCCAGTTTTCCCGGATGTTTGAGAAAATTTTATTCTGAAACTAAGGTTTTCTAACTCCAGTATGCCAATTCATAAAGATTATGGCGGATAGTAGTGATGCTTGCGGATTTCAAATCCATTTCATTGAACTTTGATGGTTCGACTAAGATGTATAATTATTAATGTTAATCAATTTTATTTTTTTTACTTGCCAACAACGTCACGCACTGTACTCCTTGGTGGATTTAAAGTTTACGAACCTTTGTAAAGACCAGTAAATTCAAAAAAAGTAAGCTTACAAGTTTTTAGCATTTTTAAGCAAAAAAAAAAGTATTAAAAGACAAAAGAATCTTTTTTTTGAAAAAAATCAATCCAGCATAAATTTTAATCTTAAAAAAAAAAATTTCAAATTTCTGTCTTATCGATATTAATTTAAAGATGAGGTATTTGTTGAAATTATTGATTCGTTGACCACACATCGTATTTGTTTCATTATAATGCATCGTGTTTTTCTAAAATTCCGTTTAATAAAATATTCTCAAATTTACCAAATTCCTACTTAAAGAGTAATTTAATTATTTTAATTAGTTTAAATTTCTCTATACGCGTCTTATAGTTATAAGTAAATATGCATGTCACTATTAAATTCAACTATCCTATGTCTAATATCAAAATCAAAAAATTGAATGTATCAATAAAAAAAAATAATAAATCAAAACAGAACTTGTCTAAATAAAAAAAATAAAAAAAAAGAATGAGAATTGCTTACTGTAAAAGTAATATAAAACATTCATAAATCCAAAATAAATTATGAACAATCATCCGTTAATTACAATAGAAATAATGAAAAAAATAAATTATCAATTGGTTTTCTTCAACTTTCACCCAGTTTTAATAATAAAAAATATTTCAAAAAAGTCTTTAAAAACAACTTTGAAAGCTAAAAATTATATGTTTTTAATGTAAATAATGCAATACAGAAAATAAATTTTAAATTTTCCTATATTTTAAGGTGTAAATCTGACGCGCGTACATAGTAAACTCTTATTCTGCTTTTCAAGTATTTTTTCAGAATATCATGTGACTTTTATTGTCCGGAGCGAAGGACAATATATGTCTACGCACTATGAAAAAAAATCGATCACGTGAAATTCTCTGTCCGCCACGTGATCGTCGCTCAATGAAATCGCAAATTTTAGTTTTTCGTTCCGGAGTCCAGACTTACAACGGTTCACGTTTTCTAGTAGGGTTGGATCGGTCCGGTCCGGTCTGGTCCGGTCCCAAAAAGACCGGTCTTTCAACCTGGACCGGACTGGACCGGGACCGGACTGATTTAAATTCAAGAAATTTTGTCCCCATGATTTTAAGACCTCTAAAACATTAAAGAACGTTGCGAAACATTTTTTAACATGTAATTTAACAAATAAACAACGTTTCGCAACGTTTTTTAATTATTTTAATAGAAAATGTTGCGAAAACGTTTTTTATTAATAAGTTCATAAAAAAAAACGTTTTTCGCAAACGTTTTTAATTATTTTAACAAACAACGTTGTGAAAACGTTTTTATTAAGTAATTAACGTTTTGCAGCATTTTTTATTAAGTAATTTAATAAAAAAACGTTTTCGCATGTTTTTTTAATTATTTTATTAATAGGAAACATTACAAAAACGTTTTTTATTAATAATTTCACGAAAAAAAGGTTTTCGCACATTTTTTTAATAAAAAACGTTGCGAAAATGTTAAAAACCGAACTGATAGTCGGTTTTGGCAAAAACCGTGTCCTAGAAGTACATGAGCACAAAAATTTGGCTCATTTTTATTGGATATTAATAATATAAGATCGGTCCCGGTCCGGACCGGTCCTCAGATCTCGGACCGAAGACCGTGAAGACCGGTCCCAAGACCGACGCAGGACCGGTCTTTGCTAGGACCGATCCAACCCTATTTTCTAGTTTATAGTTAATATGTTCTAGCATGAAATCGGCAAATTTAGCCCCAAATTTTGTTAGTGATGCAGTGCTGATTTTAGACGAATAGGCAATTAAATAAATTTTATTGCTACATGATCATATGACGCATATTTGCAGAAAATTTTAATTTTGCAGATCATTATTAATGAACTAGCCATATGTATTGTTTTGAAATTATAAAATTTTCTTTTTAAGAACAAGAGACAAAAAAATTTGGATATAACTTTTTAAATCGCCGGTTCAAATTTGAAGAAGTTGTCCATTTGCTATATGTGGGATCAAAAAATAATAATTATTTTTTTTTGAATGGACTTAGTAAAATGCTTTAATTATTCTTTAATTATTTCAAAATAGGAGAGTGTGGCTCATTTGTATTATATGATATATACTATATAATATTTTGATTGGCTAATTTTATTCAAGTTTGTTCAACCTTATATTGCATAGTTTTATTTTATTTCTTTTTTGGTGATATCTATCTAGTATAGATATTTTTGTTATTTCCCATTTCCACCAGAAGAATGTTGTCTTAGGAAGACTTTTCATGCATTAGTTCTTATGCCCTACTTGTAGAAATTGTTTTATATAGTTTCTTGTAGACTGTACTAATGACGGTTCTTTTTGTGATAAAAATAAAAATTATTGTTCAACGTATGATCAGCAGTGTAACACATCAATACATCAATAAATGTTTTACATACAATATGTCATACGTCACACACGTCAGCAATTACGGCATTCTAATTTATCCACAGTTCGTGTCGCAGTATTATAAAATGTACAACCATATGACTTCTAAAATTGGGCTTATAATACTGTAATAACTAACATAACTCCGATACTCGTATTTTCTTCCTAAAATTTCTTAAGATGTCATTGCCTTATTTAATAGATGATTGTGTTTATGATATTTTACAATACCTTCAAAATGATGGAACAACTTTATTTAACTGTTTATTAGTTAATAGATTTTGGTGTAAAACGGCAATTCCTTTACTTTATACAAATCCTTTTGTAATAATATCCAAAAAAAAATACATGATAATCTCAACCATAATTTTATGTTTTAATAAAGAAGAAATTTTACAATTAAAGAATCAATTAGGAATAAATCAAATTAATAATAATAATAATAATATTGATTATGAAGAACATAAACCATTATTTGAATATTTAAAATATTTAGAAGATTACAATCACTCTAAAATAAAGTCTTTTATTATTATGTTTATAAATTATAATTTAGGTTTATCGATATTTACAGATAAAATGTATGAAGATATTATTCCAATATTTCATCAATCAATTTTACGTCAAAGTAGAAATATTAAACAATTAGATATTTCATTACATTTATTTTATAAACAAGGTTTTAAAAATTTTAATGTTCAAAACTTTATTTCAAATTTAACAAAATTAAAATCATTAAGTTTATCATTAGATGATATCATTAATAATGAAATTAAACAAGAATTTTTAGGAAATATAACTAATAATAGTTTAAATTTGAGTAAATTGATAATTAAGCTTACTCAAACTCGAGGGTCAGTCAATTCCAAAAATACTATATGGGAAAATCTTTACAAAATTATTCAAGGGAAAAACAAACTTAAAATATTTAAGATATGGAATTGTTATTCTTTATTAAATAATATTATTTTATCCTTAGAATTTCAAAAGCATTCTTTAGTTCATATTGAATTTATAAGATCAAACTTTATTAACGTTAATTTAAAAAGGTTTAATAATTTATATAATTTAGAATATTTAATATTTAAATCTTGTGAAGGTATATTATTAAATCAATGTGAGATTTTAAATTTTGCTTCATTTAAGCTCAAGGAATTATCATTTATACGTAATAGATGGAATGATGATGTCACATCTTTAATGATCAAATATCTAGGAGAATCATTACAAAGATTATTAATTGAAAATCCTACAATTCAACTTATTGAAAATATATCAATGTATTGTTCAAATCTTATTTTTTTAGAAATAAGAATTTATTTATATATTGATTTATCAGTATTAGAATTTTTAAAAAATTTAAGAATAAGAATATTAAATATTAATATTTCTTATAATATTGATAAATTTTTTATAAATTTAGCAAATAATATACCTATTAATATTAATAAAATTACTTTTACTATTCGTCTTCGTGAATCAATCAATTTTTTAAAACTTGAGGAATTTTTAGAAAATTGTCATAATAATTTTGAAATAATTAATTTAAAACATATTATTGAATTTAAATTACTTAAAATTATTTTAAATTATATTGAAAAAAGTAATAATAGTTTAAAAATTCTTGGTGTGATGAAATTGAATAAAAAATTGAATGATGAGGAATTAAAATTATTAAATAGGATTAAAGATAAAGGAGTTGAAATAATGGAATTTAATAGTATTCATGATGTTCATAAGATGTATAATATTAGTATTTAATATTTAGTAAATGAAGGGTTTATAGTATAGTGTTTATTTGATTTTATATTTAGATTTAGGGTTTATTTTATTTATTTATTTATTTATTATTTTTTTTTTGTTGAAAAATAAAAATTTTTTATGATCCGAATACCCGGATTTTGATTAATTGAATATCTAGTTTGATTTGATTTTTTAAAATAAAAAATCCGATTTTTATTTTAATGTACAGTACACATGAGTAACATGACACATTCTGTTGGTTTGGTGGTGAATCAATCCAGATAAACTCGCGAATGTCGCTTCTTACTATCCTGGCGGCTATCCGGATAATATCCATATATCTGTATTATCCAGCCATGATATCCTCTGGAGTAATTAATTTTAACAATCTAGAATTACACAAAGAATCCATTTAAAAATATATATTATATATATATTTTTTTTGATCAATAATAAAAGTACTTGTATCATTGTATGGAATAATACATCATGTTATTTAGACCTTTCCTTTTTCATATTCACAACGAATCAATAGGTTAAAATTAGTATTAAGTTATTAAAAAATTTATGCTTTTTCATAATCACCGTAAAATTAAATTCTTGTATAATCTATACAAAAAACTATTACGTTCACGTTCATTTATTAACTGACTTTATTATTAAATACTATAATATATATATATTTTTTGTCTAAATAATACAATTATTAGTAAGGCTACATTATTGCACTAAGAAATTTAATTTCTAGGCAATGATTTTGACATCGAATTCTATGTTCATTATGTGTAGATACATCAAATTCCTATGAAACTAGTGTTCAGATTGACTACAGTATTTTTTTGTAACAACAGTATATTAAATGTTTGTCATTTTTTCAATTATACGTTAATTAATTCATTTATTCATTTGTTTTTGAAAAAAAGTATGTTTTATCATTATGAATAAATTTCAGGCAGATTAAATTTAAGCTTACTACTTAATTTCTTTGAATTTTATTTTAAGATTTATCTTTTTTTTATTCAAAAAAAAAAGTATATTAATAACAGAAAAAGAAGATAACTTTTGTCAGATTGCAACTTTTATTTATATTGTTACATTGTTCTATTTATGCGTGTAGTTCATCTAGGACATATTTTATATTCAACTTTATATATTTCGTTTTATCAAATATATGTAATTTGGGCTCTACTAGTTTTAAAAATAAAAAAAGATAAATAAAAAAATAATTACCGATTAAAATTCATTATTTAACTTTGTATTTTATTTTTTATGATAACTTGCTGTAAACTGTTGCGTTGCAAAATGATTAATGAGTTTAAATTAGTATAAAATTTCATATATTGAGTTAATAATTACATAAAGGTTTTTTATTTATTTATAATTTGGATTATAATGTGAATGAAAAATAAAAATTGATTAAAAATTTTAACTATATTAAATAAAATAAATTATGTCATAATAATTAACAATAAAAAATGAACAATAATAAAATAAGTATTAATTATACCAACTAACAATATTTAAAAAATATATATTTATAATTTAAAAAATTATCAATTTTATTTTTTTTTTTTGCTGGATATTTTTAAAAATCATATTTATTCTACTAACCTAAAAGAAATCATATAAAATATACAGTATTTATTTAAATAAAAAAAAAGTATTTATTTTGATTACATCAAAGCACTGCCCGATCTAAACCTAAAAGTCAAAAGAACAAAAAAAAATTAAGAAAAATGAAATATTAGTAAAAAAAAGTAACCAAGAAAGAAAAAATTATAGTAATACTACAGTATCGATCCGATCACAGATATAAACCTAAAAAGTGAAAGAACGAAAAAAAAAGAATTAAGGAAAAAAATTACTATTTAGATTATAAAGGGGAAAAATTAAACCAAAAAACACCGGCTTAAAGAAAAAACCGATTTGGAAAAAAAAATTTCGATTTTAAAAAATCAAAATATAAAAAAAAATTTTGAAAAAAAATTTTTTGGTTTAAAAAAAAAAAGAAAAATATATTGGAAAATTTTTTTAACATTCTAATGCGGCCGATCGCATCATCCCGAGGGGAAATATGATTAATAAACTAAACTTTCTTTATCAGTATTATGATATAAAAAAAAAAATCTGATCAAAATTTCATTAACTAGAACTGAATTAGATCACAAAAATTTTCACAATAGACCAGGCACAGATGCAAAAATTACGTTCTTGACCCTCCTCGTATTACTTTCTTGACTTGATCAAAATATGCATGATTATGTATGACAAAAATGTTCTTTTCTTGACCTGCAAAAAACATTAACGCGTTGTTATTTTTCTTATTTCCATAATTTCAGTTTTCAAGAGTTATATACACAAGGAGATCAATATTTAATGTCAAAAAGAATAATTTATTTTTTTATCATTAATGATTAATGACAAAATAATTTATTATTTTTTTTTTATTTTAATACTTATTTTTATGCGGGTTGTAGTTTAGTATTTATTACCTAATTCTCTTAAATGTAATCTATTTATCGGCTATCTTTTGTAAATAAAATAAAATTATTTTATCAATATTGTAGAAATAAAAAAGTATTAAAGAACATTATTTTTGTTAAATATAAATAAAGAATAAAATATTTCTTTTTTTGTTTATCGCATATCGCGTTTCAGGTCAAGAAAGGAACATTTTTGTCATACATAATCATGCATATTTTGACCGGGTCAAGAAAGTAATACGAGGAGGTAATTTTTGCGGCACAGATATATCAAGCGTTTCCATGTTACACAATTCAAAAATCTAAATATTACCAAATTTTTTAATTATGTAGATTCCATTCTATTGTATTCTTTATATTCATAATTATTTATCTCACGAATATCTTTTTTTATTCCAAAAAACAACCAGATTTTAATGTTTACTTATAATTATTAGCGAAACTTTTTTTGCATAAAGTTAAGAAAAGTTAAAACTAAGTCATTTTTAAATTAATAGCGTAAATTTCAGTATTTTTTTTTTAATGTATATTAATATAACAAATTGGAAATTAGAAAATAATATAAAAAAATTTATAAATGTATTAATGTACAGCACAGTAGAAATAAAAATGAATTTGAAAATAGATGTACATTGAATTGAAAGTGAATTATATAAATCTCCATAACTTTAAAGACCATTTTCAATAAATGGAATCTAAAGTTAAATTCATACATCCGTGTAAAAATACTTTTAGAGTTCAATGTTACATGGTTTAAAATTTTAACGGATATAGATAAGTAAGCATATTTTTTTATCAAATAATTTATTAAAGTGATTTAAGGACTATCAATTTATTAGAAAGATGATTTGTTATTACACAATAATACATTAAGTTCGCTTAAAATTTTATTATTCCAACAATAATAACAAAACAAAAATGCTTTCACCATTGACCATTGTTGTTGTTGAATTGGATCATTCATGCAGCTTATAGGCCATAGCTAGCTGGGTCTTTTGCTTTTACTGTATGTGACCTAAGAACATATTGAAACTTCCATATGTATAAAAAAAATCCTATTAATTTTTTTTTATTAATTATTTTTTTTTAATTTTTTAAAAAAGGAATGTTTTTTTATTTTATAGAATCAAATTCTAGAATTATTTATACTCGTACACAGAATAAAAAAAAACATTTTAACTTCAATTTCTGCGCATTGTTATTTAATTATTACATATATATTTAGATTTTTTTTTTTTTTTTAAAAAAAAAAAAATAATGGAGAAAAAAAGGTAATTTTTGAACGAAAAGTTATTACATAATAATTGTTTTTCTTCGTTAAAAAAATTAATAATACTTTTATTGCCTTTTTAGGTAATTCACTTCTTAAATTAAATGCATAATCACAAATGTCATGTGGTGAAACATTGTGAAACATTAAAATATTGTGAAACATTATTCAGCAGTAGATCATGCTAAATTTAAGTTTGTAGTTACGCAATCCGGAGTATACGTTAAAAAAGGCTAAAGGCGTAAATGTTCATTGTTCAAAGTTGGAAATTTAAAAGCCCTATAATATTATGTCTAATATTCGAAGAAATTTAATTTATGCAGCAATTAATAGAGCATGGTCATTAATTGATCCTAATATTCATGCCGACTTACACAAACAATATGAATTTATGCAACAAACAATTCTTGCTGACAATTCTCTTACAACTGATGAAAAAAATGAAGCAATAAGACTTAATAATATGTATTATGATCGAGATAGAATTCTTTATAATGAAGGAACAAGAAGAATTTGTGAATATTGTAACCAAGAATGTTTAGCCATGACATATTGTGAATATTGTATTCAAAATTATTTAAAAGCAAAATTTCCAAATTGGACATCTGGAAATAATGATATTGATAATTTAATACAAAAATGTCAAGTTGAGTCACTTATGCCAAATGCGATAATTGAATGGATTCCATATAATAATTTACAAAATATTGAATATTTAACAAAAGGTGGATTTTCTAAAATCTATACAGCAATATGGATTAACGGAAAATATGAAGAATGGGATTCTGAGAATCAACAATTACAAAGACTTGGAGAACATGATGTAATATTAAAAGAATTAGAAAATATTGAAAATGCAAGTCAAAATTGGTTTGAAGAGGTTTGTAATCTAAAAATACCTAAAAACTTATATTATTTAAAATTAATTATTAATAATAAAATTTTGAAATTACTTTTTATAGGCTAAAACACATTTATCTATAAGTAATAAACGTCAAGAAATTGTTCAATGTTATGGTTTAACACAAAATCCATCAAATGGAAATTATATGCTTGTAATGATGAAGGAAGATGCTAATTTAAGAGAATTTTTACAACAAAATTATAATCAACTAACATGGGTAGAAAAAATTGGAATTATTTATGAAATAATTGATGCAATTTATTATATTCATAATGAAAGTTCAATTCATAGAGATTTACATTCTGGGAATATATTGTATTCACAATTTAATAATGCTTGGTCTATTAGTGATTTTGGATTTTGTGGCCCTGCAGATAAACCATTAACAAGTATATACGGAAATCTTCCTTATATAGCACCTGAAATTATTGATGGAAAAGAATATACTGTTAAATCGGATATTTATAGTATTGGCATACTTATGTGTGAAATTTCATCTGGTCAACCACCATTTAATAATTACGAACATGATTATGATCTTGCACTTAGGATTATTAATGGCATGAGGCCAAAAATGAGATCAGAAATTCCTTTAAAATATAAAAATTTAATGGAACAATGCTGGAATGCCAATCCATCAGAAAGGCCTGACGTTGATACACTTTTGGAAGAAATAAGAGAAATTAAGTTATATTATCAAAATAATCCAAATGAATTGCCTCAACTAAAAGCAAAAATAGATAAAGAAGCAAACTATACAAACATAAGCAGTAAATTATTTACAAGTAAAATTCATAAATTTGAAAATTTACCTGAACCAAAAAATGCAACAGAAGGTATAGTTTATCAACATTTGTAACTATTTAATCTTTCTTTGTTATTACTAATAATACAGTCTTACTTTTTTTTAATTTAAATAATAACAGAAGAACAAGAAGGTGATATAAATTTAATGCTTATTCTTATTAAAAATAATTAGTAAATAACAAATTAAAACTAAATCTATTTATTTAATAGCATTTCATAGTAAATTATATGACTTTAATATTCCAAAAAATAGTAAGTAAAAATTTTTTAAGTTTAATGTTGAATTTATATGGTATAATATTGAATAATTGTTTTTATTTTTAGTTGATGATTTTGGCCAATCAAGTAACCAGAATAACAAAAGAAATAGTAATGCTATTGAAGGTAATTTAAAATAAGAATAAATATTTAATTTATTTTAAATACTTAGTATTAATATCTTAATTTTAGCTGGTAATACAAGATTGACCAANTATTGAAGGTAATTTAAAATAAGAATAAATATTTAATTTATTTTAAATACTTAGTATTAATATCTTAATTTTAGCTGGTAATACAAGATTGACCAATGTATTTAAAGAATTGCGGGTAAATTCAAAAAGTCGTGAGTAAATATTAAACAAATAAATACTTAAATTGGAGTTTATTTATAAATAAGTATACAGCATATTAAATTTTATTTTACTTAACAATAGTTGATACCGTACAAAATAACTATTATAGAGATACAATACAACAGCCGCAAACTGGTGATATTGATGGTAAGTAAGCTATTATTTATTCATTAAAAATTTTTTAGATAATATATAATTGTATATTATTTTGTTTCGTAGATGATGATGAATATAATAATCCAAATCTTCATTCAGAAGAACAAGAAGAATTTGAAATTCCTGATGGTTTGTTTATTTTACAAAAATTATACTTAATGCATATAATAGTGGTACAGTAATTTCTTATTTACTAATACATCTGTTTTTTCTTAGAGGGATTTTAAATTATTTATGAATTAGACTAAAGACGATATTATTTATTTTATTTTGAAATAGAATTATTTAAACACTGAGAGTATAAGAAATTCTTAGTTTGTAATTTAAATAATTTTTTATATAAATTATTAAATAAATAAATTTTATATTAAATTTTTTTTAATTTTGTCGTTATAAGTATTATTATTTAAGTAATATGATTTCAAATTTCCAAAATGATTTCTTTTTTTTTTACATATGGGATTAAACCAATAACAATACTCTAAGTTTTATCTTTGAATAAAAAGAATTGATTAATAATCTAAATACCTAAAAATTCAATAAATTGTAACTTTATTTAGTTTAATGTCTAAATACAATCTAACAAGATGGATAAATTTAGAATTACGAATCATTATTGATAATTATACCTGTTTTAAAAAATCCTTTTTTTTTACATCATTTATAAATATATATGATTCTCTAAATAATTTTAATTGAAATTAAAGAAATAAATCTTAATAGATACTATGTGAAATTATATTAAACATTTTAATCGGTGGACATTATTTATGTGGTTGTATATAGTATTTCGCGTTTTGCTTAATCTATTTTTATAGTTGTCTCAATTTTATAATTCATTTTTTAAGCTAAACTATTTATACTTTTATATCTTAATTTATCTAAAGTAAAAATAGTTTAATTAACTGAAATAAGGTTAAAATTTCGTATGAATACTGGAACATTTTTTTTATACTAAAATTATTTGAGCTTTATATTAAGCAAAATTTCAGTTTATTTCATTTTAATGACATCCTATAATCGGAAGCAATGGCATAAAAAAAAGACAATATTCTAAATATTCTAAGACACTTTGAACATTTAATTTGTTAAAGTGTTTAACGACAAAATAATTATCGAAAATTATTAGATTTTATAGAAACAATGATAAATAGTTAAAAATAATTTGTAAATTACCCATATTTTCATAATAACCAATTATACTATTTAAATTATTTATAAAATTATAAAATTGTAATTTTTGTACTGTTTGTATTATTAAAGTATTTAGTATTTTTAAATATTAACCCATTTTTTGTACTATTAGAATTTCCAATTTTTTCTTTAGATAAATATCGTTAACATTTAGTTTAAAGAACTATTATTTAGTTTGCATTGATTTTTCAAGAGTAGTAGTAAGAAAAAAGATACATTTTTACATTAATAAAATTTGAAATTTTTTATTAAGCATTTACAAACTTTCTCAATATGTTAAAGCTGACAAACCATTATAATAAAAGTATATTCAATTATCAAAATTTGAACGTTTTGAGGTGATGTAAAAAATATGATTTATATGATGAATTTTCAATGCATCATTAAATGGCTGATGTATTATTGATAATCTTATTATTAAACATAATAGAATGAAATTTCTCAGTTGAAAACATTAAAAGAATTAAGCGAAAGAAATTGTTCGCTTTATTTTAAATTTAAGGTTTATGTAGTCATTATTCTAAAGAACAACTTTTCCAATGTACCATGTACAAATTTTTATAGGTAATCTTAAACTAATACTGTAAATAGAATTTTTTAATATTGTATATTTATCGTTATTTATACTTTGAAGTTTGAGCAATTTTCTATAATTTACTAATTTTATTATCCGTTATTAAAAATTATTAGTTAAACAAGAAAACTAAATAATTTATAAAAAAATAACTAGTACCAGTATTTAAGCTTATTGTAAGTCTATACTCTATCGTTATCATTGCTTATATTAACATTACTTAGAAATATTCAGTTTTAAAAAGGTGCGCCATTAAGTAAATAAATTTTATATTCAACTATCACTTCCAAACTTAATAAAGTGAAACATCTTTTATATCAGTTATAAATGGAAAAACTTTTTTTTTACTATTTCTTCATTATTAAACCCTGTAATTACTTCTTACCCATTACAATTCCAATCGTTAAATTGACACAATTAATTGACTAAACTAACTGCTGTAATCCTGTAACAACATTTCCGTTAAAATAGTTTGCTTATAAGTGAAAGAAGTTAGCTTAACATTTTTCTTAAGAAATAGAGGAAGGTTAACCTTGCTAAAATTGCAGTATTATTCTGGAAGATTTTAATTATATTTCAAAGACGAATAAGAATCGTTAGACGGCGCTAGGAATATTGAATTTTGTCTGTACCTCATAACAATCGTAACAATCGTAACATGACTAACATGTAGCTAACACGTACATCGTTTAATTATAGGTGTAAAAAAATGGTTTCCTTTACTTTTAAAATTTTAAAATCCATACAAATTAATTCAATCACAATTGGATTTACTTACTGAATTTTTAATATCATCAAAAAATGGAAATGTTTTTAAAAGATATTTGGACGAAACCATAATAAAATTATATTCTCTTGCAACCATCAAGTATCGTAAATAAACTTTTGGAATGTATTTAAATTGATATCAAATTTTAGAAGTAATATTATAACATTTTATACAATGAACTAAAAATTTATTAAATTAAGTTACATTTTTCGAATCGTGCCCGTTAGCCTTAAAAGACATCATTTATCAATATTCGCTTAAATAAAAATATTATAAAGGATCAGTAGATAAATTTTCCTAGTTAACTTAATTCGAACAAAATAAATTTCCTGAGTAGAAGAACCTCAGTAATCTTTAAAAGTTATACTCCTAGTTTTTTTAAATATCAAAAAATCTAAGCCTTTTTAGGGAAATTTAAATAATCAAGGAATTCTACTATTCCGCGCCCTTTATTTAAAAATTTCACATAAGGATGTATCTCCTTCTCCAGATGTTTAGATGGAAAAATTTTTGTATAGATTTTTAATGGTGCAAAGGCAAAGTTGATCAAGGATTGATATGGCGGCGCAGAAGCGTAACAAGAGCAAAGAACCTCGTCAACAAGGATGGTGCCACTTCGAGTCAACGGACTATAATAACCTTTTCTTCGTTCCTTATCAAACGAAAGTAATGAGTTTTTTCTTTTCTTTTCAATACAATAAAACTTCAAAATAAATATACTAACTTTCGTAATACGTGTTGTAGTAACAGAAACTAATTTCTCACCATCTGAAACAAAAAGTTTAGTTTTGTTCGGTATAACATTTTTGGCCAACCCGGTTCCACCATTATTCATGAAAATATGATGTTCAGGAGTAATGCAAAAGGTTCCTTAACGTTAATAAATAAAATAGATTAGAACAAAAGAATAAAATAAAATTCTAGATGGTATATTAATATATAATAATCACCCAGTGACCCATCCTGCTTCATGAAATCAATTAATTGAAATTCCGTCATTGAATTGTGGTCGGCATGAATAAATAATAACACTTCGCTGAAGACTTGTTTCCCATTCTCAAATCCACAACATACATAGTCTCCAATAACGAGTTCCGAAATCTTGATAACTTTGCCATTTCGCAAAGTGACTTTTGAATCCGCGGCAAAACATTCTTCTTCTTCAATTGCATGATCTTTAAATGAATTTTTTACAAATGTATACAAATTATATAATGTATAATATATCTGATTTTCTCGTAGTCGGTTGCTGTGAGCTTTTTCAAAGATATCTATTCTATAGAGATCTGAAAAGCCTACAATATAATTCTTGAGTTTCGTCATATGACGTGCAACAATTGGGTCGTCAGGTTTTCCAAAAATATCGGGATTAGGCGATACAATAAATCTGTTGTCAAATTGACCTAGGAATTCCTTTTGTTCTGGAACCAATGAATTGAAGAGCAAATCAGAATCTATTGTTGGAGCCTTTTTACACTTTGTAAATACCGCAATCATGTTGTTTAACGACTCCTTGCCGAGAAATTTGATAATTTGATCAATAGTGTCTCTCTGTTCCTTTGTAAAACGAGTAGCCTCTTAAATGAGGAAACTTTTTTTAATCATTTGAAAACTTCATAAAAATATTCTGATATCATACACACCTATAACAACTATGATAGCTTGAATTCCATATCCACATTGTGAGATTGCTTGCTCCATATCTCTCGGAATTTCCTGATTCGTTTTATCAGTCCTAAAAATTCCGGGTGTATCAATGATAGTAAACATTTTCTCATTTATTATAGTCGAGGCCATTTGACATTTTTTAGTTGAGGAAATCTTAAAAGTTCCATTATATCAAAATTTCAGAATTTATTTGAATAATTTGTAAAGATTTTTTTTCATTACAATTACTTACAGTCGAATCAGAGACAAAAAATTCATCTCTTCCCAAAAGCAGATTTCCCAAGGTACTTTTTCCAGATCCTTTAATTTAGGAACAAGAACAAAAGCTGTAATTTTTTAAGATAATTTAAATAAATATAAGTGCAATATCTTACCGGTTTTTCCTACTAGTAGGATAACTGGGAAATTTACATTATCATTACTTGAAGAGTATTGGTGGGACATTATAAGAGATTGAGTACTATTAGTACTATTGGATAAAAAATTTAATCAATTCGAAGGAATGAAAACAAAACAAAAAAAGAAAAATAGCCAATTTTGAGGATTAAACGAAATTTTACATGAATATATCGCAAGAAAAAATTTTTTTCTTTCAGATCTAAAAATATCAATTTTTTTTTAAAAAATATTTAAAGTTCTTTTGCTAACTAATGGTCGTCAAAAGACTTACTCTTTTTTGGTCGTGATTTTAAGTACTAACACCACGTAATATTTTTTTACATAATAAAAATTTACATCATGATCAGATGTAGCAACGAATCTTTATGTGAAAAAATATTCTCACTAATAAATAATAAACAAAAAAATTAATGATTAACACTATTAAGGAATACAAGATGACGATAGTCCGTCTAATGCAAGTATAAAATCTACTTGGGAGAAAAACTTATGGCTTGTGTGAACTTTTTAACATAATTGTTTTAACTTTTAACCAGGGTTGGTTCAGACATAGTAGGCGTAATCCAAATATTAGCTAATAAATAAAATTTTATTGATTTCCTAAAAAGTAAATAGGATCTACACAAAAGAAAATCTTACGTAAGGCCATAGCCATCAAGTAGTTAAACAATTCCGTAATTCTGGATCTACACCCGCCATGTTGTTAACCATATTACTCATAGTAACTTTACATTTACGCTCTAGCCGATTAATTAATTAATAAACAAAAAATATTTTTTCCCTCGTTTTTCATTATGATGTAATTTCCACTTATAACTGTAGATCATTATATCATAATGAACTATGAAAAATATCATAAAATCCCTGGTTATACGAAAAAAGTGATGGTTCCGTGGTACATGGTGGTTACTGTAAAGAAATAGTAATGGCAATTTGCATGAATATAAATAATATAATAAATTTCAGCTTTTGATGTTATATTATCATCAGCTTTTTTTTAAAAAATTATAAGAATTTTGTTCAAAAAAATTATGACATTGGATCTTCGTAGGAGAATTTTGACGGACCCTTATTCTTCGGCGCCAGCAATTCTGATAATTGGCAAAACAGGTGAGAATAAAAATCCAAATGAAAAATTGAAGTTTAACCTAAAATGGTTTAATTAGGCTCGGGAAAAAGCACGTTGGCAAATAAACTGTTTGAAGATGATGAAAAGTTCAAAACGTCAGATAGTCGAGTAAGTAAGAAAACGTAGCTATTTTTTAGTATCTAATATACTGACCGATATTGATATTCAGCATTTTATTTCAAGGAATCTTGTACCCAGTTTTGTCAATGTGATCTAATTAAATTGCATGATGATGAATGTATTGAATACAACCTTGTTGATACCCCGGGTATTTTTGATGTAAGAAAACCAAATGATGAAACCCTGAAAGAAATTGCGCGATCAATTGTCCAATGCAGTCATGGTACCATAGCAATTTTGTATGTTATAGGTAAACAAATAATAATCGACGTTACATTTACCGTAATTAGTGATTATTTACAGTAAATATTCCAAATACTCATTTATTGTAAATTTTCAAGAATGGGGCAAAGACACCCTTGAGCAAAAAGCTACAACTGACGTAATCCTGAAATTCCTCGGCGAAAAAGAATCTAGTAGGCATATGATTGTTGTTTTTACTAAATGTAATAAAAAACAAACTGAAGACCGGTATAAAATGGAAGATGATTTTGGTGACTACTTCAAAACGTTTTTGGAAAAAGTCGGAAATCGCTGGGTCATCTTTCCGAATCCGGAAATCTTTGATAAACCAAATGATCCGGTTGTGGAGCGTCATATGAATGACTTAAAATATTACATTAAAATGATGCCAAAACCCTATACCACAGAATTGTTTGAAAAAGTTAGAATTGCACGTGAGAAAGAATTGCAAGAAATTGAATCAAACGAGAAAAAGACTGGGGTAGTAGAAACAAATAAAAAAATAGACGCAGGAATCAACGCAGCCAAGGAAGGATTCGAAGATAATGGAGGTGGTTGTTTCTCTCTGTATTCAAAGGTTATCCTTGCAGACGGCAAAAGAATTGAAGTGTCACAATTGAACATCGGTGATAAAGTTTTTTGTGGAGAGAAAAATGGTAAATTGATTTTTAGCGAGATTTATGCAGTCATCCATACAGACAATCAGACCACGACTCAATATCAACGGATCGATTATCTAAAGTCAGATGGCACAAAAGGTAATAAAAATTAACTTCCAATTTAAATCATTCATTATTAAATGTATCATAATAACATTGTGTCATCTTTTTTTCTAATAGGCGTCCTACGTCTCACACCAAAACACCATTTATTCGTTTCTCAGGGAAAAACAATTTTTGCTGAAGACGTTCGAGCTTACGAAACTGAGCTCTTACTTTTCGATGGCAAAAAATTAATTCCTGTTATTCCACATCGGGTTACAAAGGTAATTAATCTTACGTTTCCATATTTTAATAAATTTGCTTTATATTAACGTTTTTTCAATCCGCTTTAATTAACTTAAAGGAATGGGAAGTTGGTTACACTGCTCCACTTACACAAAGTGGTAAAATTGTTGTTGACGATATACTTTGCTCGTGTTATGCTGTTGCTCCACCTTATCAGCAAGTCATTAATTTCGTAATGATTTCTTTCCGCTTCTACTTATGGATTATACCCAATCCTGATTGTAAGAAAGAAATTCATCCTTATATTCGTTACTTGAAACGAGGTCAATGGATTCTCGAACAGATAGATTATTTTAACACGATTGTTAAAAGAGCATGAATACAATCATATTCTATTATATTTATTTTATCTATTTAATTAACAATGTTATATATTAAATAAACTTTTTTAATTTCGTTAATTTTGTTAATTTTATTGAATTTAAAATTGAGCAAATTTGCAATAATCAAGTTGTTCGGTTGTTGTCGATATGCTCTCGAAGGTTTAAATTTACCTTTCACCTTCATAGGATCGAAATATTTGTTAATGTTATTCCTATGAATAATTAGTGCTTTTCTTAATGATATTAAAAACACGGAAATTGGGCATATATTTAAAGGAAATGTTTAATTGAATTAGTAATGAAACTGATGAGAAGTTGTTCAATAGATACAGTATCTGAACTTTGTGCTGAGTAACTGTTTTATCAGGCTTACATTCATTTGTGCTAAACATAAATCATCAATAGTAAATGCCTGATAAAGTAATTTCTCCATTGTATTACTGACCAGTAAGCTCAAAATAGATCATTTTATGTCCCAAAATATTTTTTCTTCGTCTTCTTTCTCTATTATTAAAGTTATAAAATTTTGTCATTTATACTCAACAAATAAAAAAATAATTTACTACGATCATAACAGCTTTTGCAAATCAAAAATGTATCGCAATAAAGAAATAAACAGACAGGAACTTTCTAATTCAATATATATGCCATATTTCAAAGGAAATTTGAACCAAATTTTAGTCTTTAGAATAAGTGAATAAGGTGTAATAATAGTTTTCCTATGGTTATTCATATTTTCGCATTCATTATACGATTTCTCGATTTATAATTATTACTCATTTTTAACATGATACCTTAAATGAATCCTCAATTCAATCATGTACAGTATTTGGATTTTACAAATTTTGTATTTCATTATACCATGTAAAAATTTAAGAGAAACGACAAGCGGATGCCTTAACTATAAATGCCGGGATCAAACACGTTGATAACTTATTATCATTATTTGAAATTGTTTCATTATAACAAAATTCAGATTCAAATATCTATATTATTCATGGCTATTTGGCGTAAAAAAAAAACATGAAAAAGTGTTGAACAGTTATACTATTATAAAATTATAATTTTTTTATCCTGTGCTAAAACAGGATTTAAAGGAGATATTAATTTTAGAACTAAAATATATTAGAGTTATTAAAGTTGATTGTAAAGAATAATACTGCATTTTAACAAATTTAATAATTTATTGTTATAAAAGCTATATTTAACATAATGTTTGGTCGTAGCGGTTTTATCCAGTATCCGGTATGGTTAATTTAAATTTTAATTTAATATTAGAGAAAATAGAACGCCATTTTTAATTTACTAATATAAAAGAATCATACGATATTTATATTCGTAGTCTTGTTAGAAAACGAGGAACCAACCAATTGACAACTTGCTGCACTTGCTGCAGTTGTAGATACTTGGTTAATAGAGCTGCGACCCATCAGAATTTCTGGATCCGGATCAATAAATATACAAATCAAGATATTTATTACTTTGATATTGTTTAAACTAAAATTATTAAATAAGTGTTGTTAAAGGCCGTCAACACACCACTTAATTCCGGCCGAATATTATAATTTTGGGCAGATTTAATAAAATTTCATTCGGCCAAGCAAAAATCCATATAACCCTTAATTCCGGCCGGCATTAAAATTTTGGCCAGAGTTAACATCTTAACTCTGGCAAAATTTAATTCAAGAAAGAAAAGAATTTCCAAGATTATTAATCTTTTAAACTTCAATTAATATATTTAATATATTTAAATAACTAAAGAACCAATTACAGCCGATTTCATAATGTACGGGGCACTTATGTAAATTATACGCTAATTTTAGAGTACTGTTCCGAGAATGGTGGTATAATTTTATCTTTACCGAATATTTCCGAGTTCTTTAAAATTTGCTAAATGTCCCGACCTTTTTGAAATTAGCTGTACATAAATAATAATTCCCTTTTTCTAAAGAGTAATATACAGTAGTAAACAAAATTAGAGATTGGTTATTCTACGAAATACGATTTTATAAATGATTCTCCTGCCTTCTCTCGCACATGATAATTGATGATCTACCCGATTCTCTAATAGCCAATAAAAATAAACCGCTAGCTTAAACGTCATTTCGGACGCAGTAAATAAAATACGCGTAACCTGAAAAAAATGTCACGAAATGGCCGGCATTACGCAACTTGACTGAAATTAAGTGTGGCGCACATGTGACGAATAAGTAGTGACGAATAAGTTTTACCTACTCGAAAAAAACTGTCCCTCAGATACTTATAGAAAAATGGAAACGCAGTGGGGTGTGCCGGTTGTGACAAAAAAGGTCACGTGATTTTTCGTGACTTTTTTTTCAGGTTACGCTGGGAAAGTCATAAAATACCCAATAGTTTAACGTCATTTCAGACCGCAGTAAATTTAAATATAATCCTGCGCCCCAAAAATTAATAATTTCACTAGGTAAATCCAGCCCTTACAGTATATGTGTATCACACAAAACGGATACAAAAACGGGCATTACCCATTTTTACCCATTTGCTATTCCATGGCTCGGATACTCATAAATACCCGAGTATACCCGGATCGTATCCGGATAAACGGGTAACGGGTTGCAGCTCTATATAAAGTGACTTTTTTCTTAAAAATATATAAAATTTTCTTTGGATAAATTTCAATTAAATAAATATGCTTTCAAGGTTAAAGATAGATGTTCAACATTAATTTATAAATTATCTAAGCTTAATTTTTTCCTTTAAAGAGATAATATATTACACAATTTCTAAAATGAAGAAGAATTGATGCCGTATTGCTCCAATGAACTGAAACTATCATATAAATCATAATAATAATTTCTTAGTGTAAAACAATTTGTAGTAAAAATAATAACAGTTAATTAAATCTTATCATCGGATGAACATATTAAGAGGAAATGAAAATTATGACAATTCAAGTGATGAACCGGCCAATATTTTACCGATGGGATAATAAAGAAAATTTTAAAGAATTAACAGCAATGTTATAAACTCTTTATAAAAACTTGTTTGTATCATTATATATAGTATTTTAAGATTTGTAATAAGCTTTAATTTTATTATTAGAATAAATCACAACACTATCTTTTTAAATTTAAAGAGATCGAGGAATATTTAAATAGTCAAGGAATTCTACTATCTTGCGGCCTCTATTTAAGAATTTCACATAAGGATGAATCTCTTTATCTAGATAATTAGAAGGAAAAATTTTTGTGTAGATTTTTAATGGCGCAAAGACAAAATTAAATAAGGCTTGATAAGGAGGCGCAGAGGAATAACAAGAACAAAGAATCTCATCCACAAGAATAGTTCCACTTCGAGTCAAAGGACTATAATAACCTTTTTTTCGTTCCTTATTAAATGAAATAAAGAGATTAGGGTCTGATCTTTTAAGTGTGCAACCAATTAGAAATTTTCAGAAAAAAAAAAATATTAACTTTTGTTATACGGGTTGAAGTAACGGGAATCAATTTCTCTCTGCTGGAAATAAAAAATTGAGTTTTGTTTGGTATAATATTTTTGGCAAAATCAGTCCCACCATCATTCAAGAAAATGTGATGCTCAGGAGTAACGCAAAAGGTTCCTTTGTAAATTAAGTTGATTAAGTAAAGTAAATACTTAAATTTTAGGTAGTATATATAAATATATTAATGAAATAATTACCTTGTGTTCCATCTTGTTTCATGAAATCAATTAATAGAAATTCAGTCACTGCATCGTGATCAGCATGGATAAATAAAAACACTTCGCTGAAGATTTGCTTCCCATTCTCAAAACCACAACATACATAATCTCCAATAACAAGTTCCGAAATGTTGGCGACATTGCCATTTTGCAGAGTAACCTTTGAATGTGCAGCAAAACAACCTGCTGCTTCACGCACCATATTGTTATAACCAGCAATTGCACGTGATTGCTGAGAATTTTTTTTCGTATTTTCTCGTGTTTCCTCCAAATGTCGACGTTCAATTTCCATGCAAACTTTTTCAAAGGAAGCTGTTGTGTAGAAATTTGGAATATCAGCAATGTAGTTCTTGAGGTTTTTAATGTGGCGCGCGACAATTGGGTCGTCTGGTTCTTCAAAAATCTCGAGATTAGGAGATATAGTGAATCTATTGTCAATACTATTGAGAAAATCCTTTTGTTCTTGGGCTAATGAATTAAAGAGCAAGTCAGGGTCTATTGTCGGAGCCTTTCTGCATTTTGAAAACACTGCAATCATGTGATTCAGCGAATCCGGGCCAAGATATTTTTCAATTTGATTGATAGTATCTCTCTGTTCCTTAGTAAAACGTGTTGCCTCTAAAGTAAGAAAACTTTTTCAACCATTTGAAAGACTCTGTATAAAGAATGTGAAAAATTCTACATACCCATGACAAAAATAATGGCTTGAATTCCATAAACGCATTGCAAGATTGCTTGGCCTGTTTCTTTCAAGATTTCTTGATCCGTTTTACCAGTATCAAAAATTCCAGGAGTATCAATAAGATTGAACGTTTTATTATTTATTTCAATCAAGGCAGTTTGACACACTTGTAGCGAAGATTCCTTATTAAAATTTACATTATGTAAGAATTTCGTCCCGATTTGTTTTTAAAAGTCTCTATTATATTAATTATAATTACTCACAGCTGAGTCTGAAACAGCAAATTCATTTCGACCTAAGAGCAAATTTCCCAGAGTACTTTTACCAGCACCTTGATTTTTTTTTTTAAAAAAAAAGAGAAATGAAATTATATTTATAAACAACAATTGACATTACGTCATAAGTTCTTACCGGATTTTCCTACCAACAGTATGACAGGAATATCTGAATTAGTATTACTTGAAGAGTCTTGCTGAAGAGACATCTTAGGAGACAAGGCTTCAATTAGGTTGTCGATCAAGTAAAAAACAAAAATGACTATTAATTCCTAAAATAAGCATTCTGAAACATACCCCTATTTTCGGTAGTACTGTACACGGTGGTACACTAGCAAAATTAAATAATCCTCATTTTTAAGAAAATCATTTGTATTTTAATTCTGACGAAAATATTATGACGTTGGAGCTTCGTAGTCGAATGTTGACTGACCCTTATTCTACGGCACCAGCAATTTTACTATTTGGTAAAACAGGTCAGAAGTCTTGCGCATAAAAATCCGAAGGAAAATTATTATTTGGCTCAACAGATTTAACTAGGTGCGGGAAAAAGTACATTGGCAAATATGTTGATTGGAGAAGAAAAGTTCCAAACATCGGATGGTTCGGTAAGAAACTAGTATCGGTATGTTATATAATTAATTAATTAACGTTGACAACTGGCATTTTATTTTTCAAGGATTCTCTCACCCAGATTTGTCAAAGTACTTTAATAAATATAAATGGTAAAGAATATAATCTTGTTGATACACCGGGTATTTTTGATACACAGAAACCCGACCGTGAAGTCCTAAATGAGATTGCACAGTCAATTGTCCAATGTTGTCATGGTATATCAGCGATTTTATATGTCTTAGGTAAGTTATTGTAAGTATTAATGAGCGTGTTTTATTTCTATGATATCCTGAATGTTTATTTTGTATACAACAACTTTTCAAGCTTGGGAAAAAATTGGACGAGAGTTTCAAGATATTACTAATGAAACCCTGAAATTCCTTGGTCAAGAATCTTGTCGTCATATAATTGTTGTGTTTACCAAGTGTAAAAAAGAACAAACAGAAGACCGAGTTTATATGGAAAATAATTTCAATATCAACCTTAAATCATTTATGGACAAAGTCGGAAACCGCTGGGTCATCTCGCCAAATCTAGAAATTTTCAAAAGACAAAATGATCCAGTTGTGGAGCGTCACATGGATGACCTAAAACATTATATTAGGCTAATGCCAAATCTCTATACCACAGAATTGTTTGATAATGTTAGAATTGCACGTGAGAAAGAACTGCAAGAAATTGAATCAAATGAGAATAAAACTGGATTGGTAAAAACAAGTGAAAAAATAGATGCAGGAACCGTCGTAGCCAAAGAAGAAGTGAAAAAAAAGGGTACTTGTTTTTCTCTGCGTTCAGAGGTTATTCTCGCAAACGGCAAAAGAATTGAAGCGTCACAATTGAGCATCGGCGACAAAGTTTTTTGTGGAGAAAAAAATGGTAAATTGATTTTTAGCGAGATTTATGCAATCATCCATGCAGACAACCAAACTGATACTCAATATCAGCGGATCGATTATCTAAAGTTAGACGGCACTGAAGGTGATAAATAAATATCTAATTAAATGTTTCTCAAATACTTTCTAAGCATAAATCACTCGTTTTTTTCGAATAGGCACTCTACGTCTCACTCCAAAACACCATTTATTCGTTTCTCAAGGAAAAACCATTTTCGCTGAAGATGTTCGAGCTCATGAGACTGAACTCTTACTTTTTGATGGCAAAAAATTAATTCCTGTGATTCCACATCGGGTTACAAGAGTAATAATTAATCTTACGTTTTCCGTATTTAATAAATTTCTTTATACGTATTAACCTTTTTTTGTTCATTTTCACTTTGATTAATTTGAGGAATGGGAACTTGGTTACACTGCTCCTTTTACACAAAGTGGTAAAATTGTTGTTGATGATATACTTTGCTCGTGCTATGCTGTTGCTCCACCTTATCAAGCGATCATCGATTTCGTAATGATTTCTTTCCGCCTCTACTCATGGATCATGCCCACTCCTGAGTGTAGTAAAGAAATTCATCCTTATATTCGTTACTTGAAACGAGGTCAATGGATTCTCGAGCAAATAGATTATTTTAACATGATTATTAAAAGATCGTGAAGTAGTTTAGTTATGCCAATTTTATTAGATCTACTGTATGTTTAATTTTGTTTTAACCTTATAAGCGTCATTAAATAAACATTTTTAATTTTGTTGAATTTATTTATTGCTATAAATGTACGCTGTTATTCCTGTACATGATAAGTGAGTGGTCTTCTCAATGGCATTAAAGACAAGTAGAATTGATTTTGAAATTTGATCGTATACACAGTATATGATCTATATCAGAATTTGATAATTTTTTTTTTATTTTGTAGCTTTTATAGAGCACATTAAAATAAAAAAAAGATTGCATAATGATATTACTGATATATACACAATGAGCCCAAAGAGAAAGTATACAATATCAATTTTATTCTCGGTTTTGATTGTTACGCTCTTTATTATGATACCTTAAGAATTCAGTCATGCACAATATTTGGATTTACAAATTTTATATTTTATTTTAAAAAAATTCTTTGACGTTTAGATTATCCTCCTGTATAAATAAATTGAATTGTGTTAATGTGAAACGCGTGACCCGATTTTTTTTTTCTTTTTCAGGTGGTTTTTTAAACCGAAATTTTTTTCTTTTTCTTTCAAACTTTCCTTTTTTCGTTAGCCAAATTTGTAACAATATCTAATCTTCAAATATTATCAATTAATGAATCATGAATCAGCAAAGTGTTTCATTCTAATGGGCCAAAAAAAAATTAATTTCAGATTTATGTTTTACGCAAAAAAAAAAAAAAAATTTTTTCTCGCTGAACTTTTCTCGGTTTGGCTTTTTTTTTTAAAAAAAAAGAGAAGAAAATTAAACATGAAGCCTTTTTACACAAAAACACGGGTTACCATTAAGAAACATCATTTTATTAAAAAAATTTAATAAGAGATGGAAAATAAAATTTCGATTTCACGAAAAGAGAAAATTCCAGAAAGGGATATAACAAAATAAGAATTAGAGAATCAAAATTTTCGAAATCATTAAATATTTTAGCAAAATCTGAAGCAATGAAATTAAAAAAAAAAACGAAAAAGACAATAATAGCGGATGATATTCAAAATGTTGTTAAAGGAAAAGGCTCACAAAAAAGGGAAATGAACGTGATTAATATAGTTATAGGTAATTAAAATAACAATATACAGTATTTTTAGTTATATTCTTTTTAAATGCACATCCAATAAGATAAAGAAATAATCAAATAAATCCCAATTAATATATAACTGATATTTATAATCATTAAATTTTTTGCCATCAAAAAGTAAGAGCTCAGTCTCATAAGCTCAAACATCTTCAGCGAAAATGGTTTTTTCCTTGAGAAACGAATAAATGGTGTTTTGGAGTGAGACGTAGAGTGCCTATCGGAAAAAAAAAGAGTGATTCATGCTATTAAAAAATATTTGAGAATAAATTATCAATTGGAAATTATTTGTCACCTTCTGTGCCGTCTAATTTTAGATAATCGATTCGCTGATATTGAGTCACAATTTGATTGTCTGTATGGACGACTGCATAAATCCCACTAAAAATCAATTTACCATTTTTTTCGCCACAACAAACTTTATCGCCGATGCTCAATTGTGATACTTCAGTTCTTCTGTCGTCTGTAAGAATGAATAACCTTTGAATGCGTTTGGCTACGACTAATCCGGTATCTATTTTTTCGTTTGTAAATCTTCTCATTTGATCAATTTCTCGCAGTTCTTTCTCACGTGCAATTCTAACTTTTTCAAAAATTTTGTGGTATAGTGATTTGGCAATATTCTAATATTATGCTTTAGGCCACTCATATGACGCTCCACAACTGGATCATTTTGTCTTTGAAAATTTCTAGATTTGGTGAGATGACCCAGCGGTTTCCAACTTTGTCCAAAAATAATTTGAGGTTGTCATTGAAATTTTCTTCCATAAAAAATCGGTCTTCAGTTTGTTTCTTACTACAATGAGTAAAAACGACAATTATGTGACGACGAGATTCTTCATGACCACCAAGGAATTCAGAATTGCGTCAGTTGTAGTTTATTGCTCTTTTGTATATCTACCATCAGCTTTAAAATCTATTGTTTACAAAAAATATTTAGAATATAGAAATAAAATACGTTCATTATTATGTCAATTCTTGCAAGAACTTGCCTATAACGAACAAAATCGCAATTAAACCATGATTGCATTGGACAATTGATTGTGCAATCTCATTCTGAATTTTATCATTGAGTCTCTTTATATCAAAAATGCCTAGTGTATCAACAAGATTATATTATTTACCATCCAAATTGATTAAGTACTTTGACAAATCTGAGTACTAGAATCCTTGAAAAATAAAATGTTGATTGTCAATGCTGATTAATGAATTAAATAAATACCGATACGTATGTTTCTTACCCGATTCTCCAATGGTTTGAATTGAACCTAGTTAAACTATCAAGCCAAATGATGATTTTTCCTTCGGGGTTATAAACGCAAGACTTCTCACCTGATTTGCCAATTATAAAATTGCTGGTGCCTTAGAATAAGAATCAGTCAAGATTCGACTACTCAACTCCAATGTCATAATGTTTTGTCTAACAGATTTAAATAATTCTCATTTTTAAGGAAATCATTTTTATTTTAATTTCTGAGTACCACCGTGTACCACTGTGTACCACCGAAAATCTTTTTAGAGTAGATATCAATGAATAACTGGGGCCCACGAAAGGGGGTAGCATCGGTGTATATCTGATATGTAGTTTTTATTAGATATCCATGATTCCATGGAATAAGATTGGATTTTTGTTAGTACGTATGATTTTAAATCGTACGTACTATTTTGATTGCTAAATATAAATATAGAAGATGTACGTATGTAGTTAAAAAAATCATACATACTTTTTTACCAGCCACGCCATACACTTTTTCAATCCCTTGAAGTCCTATGCAATGGCGCTCGCTCCTTCTTTAAAATATGAAAATAAAAATTTAAATAAATATTTTTATTTGTTATACACTTATACTAGCATGTTGCATTTATTTATCTTTAAATAAATAAATTATAAACACAATCATATTTAAGCTTTTTCATGTTTATTAAATTTTTAATTTTTTTTTTTTTAATTTTCTTGCAGAACTTGTGAAAAAAATTGAAGCTGCAAAATACTAAATTACCTATAAAAAAAATTATATAGGATTTCTTGCCTATATTATAATTCTAATCCTCTTTCTTTAAATTAGCCAATTCTAAAGCTTCGAAGTTTCGATAATTTCTTTTACATCTGAGAGAACTATTTCCAATTTATTAATTATTTAATATTTTAATTGATATTATTTTTTAATTAATGTGAAGTTTATATATATTTATGTAATAAAATATTTATAAAGAATTTTTTTTTTTTAAAAAAAAAAAAAAATTTCGAATTGATAAAAAAATTAGGATTATAATAGCAGTCACCCGTTGCTTCGCACCGGGACCAATGAGTTTGTTTAAATAGAAAAATTTAGTATCATAATTTAATACTAAGTAAATTAAAGATGGTTTTTGTTTATAATTAGGAATTTAATATGGTAATAATTAGTTAACAAAAAATAATAAAATAATACGTATTAAATTATATATTAATAATATTAGAATGATATTAATTATTAATGATTTGACGTTTGAGTGTAGAATGAAATTTCGGATTAATTAAGGAATTGTGAAAAAATAATTATTAATAAAAATTGATTAATTTTTTTAGAAGTATTTTCGAAAAAACTTTAATTTTATGAAAATATTATTATAATTATTTCTTATTATTTATATTACGTCAATCTTAAACTTATAAGTTATAACCAACTTAAGAAAAATATTAAAATTAGAATCTGTTCATTTCGTTTATTATTACTCTTTTGATACTCATTTTATATTAATTTAACTAAACCATTTCAATTAAAATCTTTATTTAAAAATCTGGAGGATATGGATTTGATTATAATAACCTATTATCAAATAAACCAATTAATTATAAAATATTGTAAAAATATCAATTTTTTTTGATTTTTATGAATTTGAAAATCAAACAATTTATCCAGCGTTCAATTTAATTGAAATAATCTTAATCATCTCTCTATCAACGTCAGTCAATTTTCCTACATGTTATAATGATATTTTAAAAATTTCTTTATTTAATAATAAGAAAAAGTTGAAAGAAAAAGAAAAAAAATTTGGGGGGAAGAAAAAGGATAAAGAAAGAAATCGGTTTAAAAAAAGGGAAATTTCCGAAAAAAAGGAATCCGAAAAAAAAATTTAGTACCGAATTAACCGAAATTGGATTAGTTGATTGGAATGCACACGGATCGAATAGTTTTTGACCATAAATAGATCAGGCGGAGGTATGTCACGGGTTTTAATTAAATAGTGTCATGTGATCGTCATGTGCCACTCCGAAATTGATCGATGTTGCAAATGTTTAACTTGATTGACATGTCGGACATAATCAACATGTTGGTTATGATCAACGTATTGAACATGTTAGTCATATTATACATAGTAAATATATTAAATTTCTTCTTATATGTATAATTTATTATAAATATAGGTCAATTTTCTTGTTGTAATAAAAAAGGGAAAAAATAAAGTTTTCATTTTTTTAAGTTATAAAGTGACAGTTTTTATCAAGTGAAATCCTTTATTCGTGTTTGGAAGTATATGCCGACATACAGCGCTATACAACACGTCTGATCGGATAATTTTGATATATTGTTTGTCTATACACTACATAAACCTTCTGCTACCTAACCACATAAATTGCTTAATATTTTTAAGCGTAAAAGAACTGATACAACAAATTGGTGCCTTCTGCCAGAATTTCCGATCCCTACCTTTAATCCCCTTTTATGTTCCAAAACCATTTTGATCGTAATACTATACACGACGCTATACATAGACAGTTAGGGCTAGATAACGTAACCGCCTATCATCGTGACCTTTCGTGTAATAACTGTTACCCATCAGAAATTCCCTTAACACCCACTTTTCAGCACTTTTTGGACTGGATTTCTTCCAACTATCCGGTTGTAGAATACACCCGATACACTCAACAATATTTTAAAGAGGTTGCGTATTCGATTACTAACACAGATATCAATAACGCTATACATAACCTATTGTTCAGCATCCGATACGCTGATATAGAACCAACAATAGATTATACTCTATTGCGTCAGGACCTTATCAACG